ATACTTACAGCTTTAACTCTATTTATGATTCACATGTACAGTTAGTAGTAGAAAATACTTCGGTAGATTTGAGAGACGGTTATCTACAAGGACTGTTGAACAAATGCACAATGAGTCTACCTCTTGGGGATTTAGCAGTATTTGATAGCGCCATGGCTTGGTACCTAACTGATACGAGGCATAACATCAGCAAATCGGAATCTACTTGAGCTATTAAATAGAGACAAAGCACCTTATGACCACTTCGAATCACTTAAGCTGTGGCTATTTGGTGGATGAAGCTTGAATTATGCATGCAGAAACAGGCTGTTGTCGTTGACTTGTTAACTATCTTGGTGAACACTGACTCATTCATCCAATGGAATTTAGATTTTCCCATCGAATGATTGGACGGGAACGCTTAGTCTCAGGTTGTCAAGCCGGCTCCTTGTGCAGACACTTCGACAATCTCTAGTCATGTAAATTGAGGTCAACTGGTGTTGGTGGTGACTAGCAGTGGAATCTAGGATGCACATTTCGTGCTATTTGAAACTCTGAACGTTCTTGCCTTTGGGTTTGAGCCTCAATGGGAATATTATCATTCATTCAATTTTTGAAACTTTATTTTAATTCACTTTAATTTTGTGTGTTACATAACTCGATAATTATATTCATCGCCTTTCTTACTCATTCTTTACATACTTGTTTCCATGATCCCTTTCATGTCGGTTGAATAAATTTGCACGGGACTATTTAGCTGTCTGTACTTATGTGCCAATTATCCTTAAATTCTAGAACAATACAATATCTCGAATTTGCCTTTTAATTCATTATTCTAAATTACTGTTAACTTTGAACATCCTTTCCGTTTTCGCCATGTTATATTCTCTAATCAAAGTAAAATGTTTATTCAGAGTAAAAGTATGTTTAAATAATATGAGAACAAGTCATATAAAGGAACAAAATTGTTGTTTTCAATTAGACCCTCTTGAGGATTCACTCTTTTTTTACTCAGCTTTATATATACAAACTTTAACCAATGACGGTGAGTTGGTCAACTGGATTATGATAGTAATAATAATGTGGTAAATGTATTGAACGTCAATTATAACAATGATTATAATGATAACAAAATATTGACGTGGTGATAAGAATAGCGAAGGTATGTGTATATGCTTATATTTAGGCACATGGAAAATTCCCATTGTAATATAATGAAAATCGACCTGAAGGATAAGATCCCTCTGTTGACCAGTTCTCTGTGCGTTTATCAATTCACCTGTTTTTGTGGAGCTAGGTATATCGGTTGTCTGACTCGACTTTTGTCAAAGAGGGTGCAAGAACATTATCCTGCATGGCTACGAAAAGGTGGAAGTGGAGCGATAATTGAACATCTGGTCGATAATGATCACCTTATCTCTATAGCCTCCAGCTTTAAAGTCATCTACAAGGCAAAGAGTAATTTACTGAAATCACTACGTACCTGACTCATCTGTATGGCTGAAACAGCTTTGGCAATCGAAACAGAAAAGCCAGATATCTTTATACAGAAAAAGGTCGTTCAACCCCTCTAACTTTCATGGTCTTAATCCCTCTATGCTAAAGTAGGGTAATACCTAATTATATTTTGGCTCTACCAATTTTTCATTTTTCATTTTTTTCATTTTGTCTATTCGGTTTGTAGTCTCTTCCTTTATTACGTCAATTGTTACTATTACTGCTCTCACCTTCAACGGTTCCCGGTATTATTTCACTTGTTCCACTTGTCATTCTAAATCAATTCTTCTTTTTTGAAAACGATAAATTCTGTGCTGTTAAATTTCACACACTATTACGTAACGTTTTTGTTTTATTCGATTTGCCTACTAATCTTATAATCGCACACTCTTTTTCAAGTTCTATCCATCCTATAAATTATTCTGTATATGACATTAATTTGTTTTGCCACTTAACATTTAACCATGATTATAATCAAAAACATTTTAGTTTTTAATTGCATTTCATACTACTATTATTATTATTTTATGCAATCACATCTATGATTCAATTCCTTCACCGTATATAACTTCTTAAAAACCATGTTAATATATACGATTGTACAGCTTGATGATAACTTCGTTGAAAAGAGTCCCTTTGTTGAATCACTTGTTTTGATTTTCCACATTTTTAGACAATTTAATGAATAAATAGATTACGTCAAATTTTAAAAGTTACGTAATACTAAAGGTAGGTGAAGTGGACAGATAATAATCATAGATCATAGGCTAAATAAACATCTTAAAAGTGCGAGGGGAGTGGAAAATAAGAAAGGGTAGGTGGAAGGGAGATTTTTAATGAGAATTAACCTAGGCCAAGGGAGAGGCAGAGGTAGAAAAAAATTCTTTTGTGTGCAAAGACTACGATTGTTCTCTCGAATTAATCCCCATAGCTTTGGCTATGAGTGAAATCAATTTTATTAGATGCCTTACAAGTAAAGCAAGACGAATGTGTACATATGACTGCCTAAAAATGAACTTGGATACATCCAAAGGACGCCGATCCGAATTGGTTATCCCAATGGCTTTGCTGGGAGTATTGGACAGCTGTTTCGTCCTAGTTTGGGACCGGCTATTCAGCAGTACGCACCCACCACACGGGTTCGAACCAAGGACCTTCTGGTTACAAGGTGAGCTCGTTGACCGTTAAGCCAATGGGACCAAAGGACTATCTGCAATCTTAAAGGAACTCGTTTCCCTTCTGGGATTCGAACCTGCATCGCCTAGTGAGCACTGAAGTCAAAAACGTTACCACTGAGCTATTTTGAGTTCAGTGCATTGGTGGCATAGTGGTTAGGACGCTCGCCGACCATGCAGATGGTCCGGGGTTCGATCCCCGGCCACAGTCACACTCCTTTACCTCGCTAAGCCAAAAATGATGCTGGTAAAGAGGAAAGGATTGGCATGAGGCTAGCAACCTCATCCTGTAAAATAAAGACTGCTACAGAAACTTCAAGCCACTAGCTTGAAGCCCTATGTTCCACTGGGGAACGTGAAGGTAAAGAAAATGGCTTTGTTAGGAGACACATGAACTCCAGGTATAACAAAGATAAACTGACAACAGTTAAAAAAGAAGCAACTGTTCCTAAATTTGCAATTTAATGGGGACGTGGTTGATGAAGTCCTACATCTAAAATTATCGAAAGCGATTAAACGGAATAATACTGCCGCCACCATCCCTTGTTTGTCATTCTCCAGCTGCCGACCAATTATGATTACTCAAGCAGAAGACAGGTTACCTAACCATGCCACTTCTGTATGTATCTAAAAATTTAACTGCTCCTGTGGAGAAAGCTATACAGGGTGAAAAATTTAACCGCAACTCAACAAACGTATTAATCCGGCATTTTTTTCATGGTTCGGAAAAGATGAAATAAAATCTAAAAGAAGTCCTATTTTGTCTCAATTCATTGATGATAGCGGTCATCTATTAGACTGATGAAGTACCTTCAAAGTTATCTGTCTCATTCCATTGAACATTTCGAACGGAATTCGAACTCGCCTTTAAAAAGCAGCCGTTGATATCCTTCATATGCTTCATACTTATATGATATGTATTTAAACTCTGACTATCTGCCCACTTCACCTACCTTTATTATTGCGTAACTTTTAAGATTTGACCTAATTTATTTATTTGTTGAATTGTCTACATATACACATACCACCTTTGATATTCTTGTCGCCATATGCATAAACGTTATTATCAATACTTTGCTGTCATTAACTCGTCGTTTTTAACTACGTTCAAAACATTTATCGCATTGTTATTATTATTTGATCCACAACATCACCATCATTGGTTAAAACGTTTATATATAAAGAGAAATTTAAATTTGATTAAAGCCTGAAGACGATCTAATTGAATACAAAAATACTGTTCCCTTATATGTGTCTTTTTCTAATATTAATAATGAGAATATTTAAAGATTCACATTATATCACATATTCATTGCTTATGTAGTTTACTATTCAGGTTATCTGGAATTGACGAAAATACTACGAAAATGCAAATATAAAAGAAGTGTTTCTCATTGCGTCATTCAAATATTCTTCCGTCTATGATATATGAACATTGAAAACTGATCAGTTTTGAGTGCTACTTAATGTCTTTTTCTGTAGTTAAACAACGCCAAAAATAACAGCTTGGAAATAAAGTCCATGACAGCAGAAATGTCTCGCTGTCTCTCTCTCTCCCTCTGTCTCCACAGTAAACAATGTCACAGTGTTCCTCCTTGTGTGTGTGTATATATGTAAAAATCAATAAAACTTCGAAAAACACATACATCATTTTACCTGGAGTTTCAAATTCAGGTGTTACACGTACACCTCTTAAACGTGCATACTCCAACAATCCGCTAACTTCATCCGGTAAATATACCGCGATTTTATCATCATAAGAGTTCTAACAATTCAAAAAAATATATACATGTAGAAGTCAAGATATTTGTGAGAAATTTATCCATCTTGATAGATCAGGATGTGAGAAAAAGAAGTATGGAAAGGATTCATCGTCTGTCACATGCCAGTGGAGAGTATTCATTTTAACCATAGACATTGCATCCTGTATAACAAAATGATAAGAACAATTTCAACTTCAATTAGTGCTCACTTACTATCATCTTATCAATTTCAGAAATACTCAGAAAATGTCTAGCAGTGTCGATCATAATTCCACGATGTGTAAATATCGGTACATCATTGACAACACCTTGATAAATCACCTTCTGTCGAAAACGGAATTGTGTAAAGCCCAGTGTCAATAGAAATAAGATCTTAGAAACTGGAAATAATAATTGAACAAACCGAATCTGATTCACTTCTGTAAACAAGTTGAAGAATCGTCTCTAATGCACGTAGTGTTCCCCATATCTCTTGTGAAGATATTTCTATTATCCCATCAGTTATGTTCACCATGTCTGCAAATCAAAAGATGAGTTGGAATGAGCAGGAGATTGAAGTGAGTGAGTGAGTGGATATCCTACTTACATGACTCATCCATCATGTCAGATGGCCAAAGTTTGTTTTCCGTTTCATCACACAACTGTTCTATATGGATAGACAACGACGTGACAAAACAACTTGTAACAATGTCATCTGATTGCTGTAATGGTGTATATATGAGAGTAAGACGTTGAGTGAATCGTTTCAATGCCTCCATTAGAATGAAACAAGAATGATGCTCATGAATAAATTCAAGTGTTTCAACGATGTTGCATAGCAGTGTAGAAGTTTGATTATATTCGTATGGTTTTGGAATTAATGCTGAGATGGCAGTTATAAAGTAAGCAAGCATTACAATGTGGTATAGGTGATGTCTACTCATGTTCAGACGTACACTGTTGAGTAAAACTAATATTCGAATAGCACTTAATTCATATGAATACACGCATATTTATATATAAATTTATAGCTGATTGTTTAAAGTTTTACGTGTGTTTTGTAGACAGAAATCATTCGACAAATGCGTGTGTTGTCGAGTTGTGGACTTTCAACCCCTGTTTTTCTATATTCTTCAGACAGATACGATTTCATAGCATGTGGAAGGGAGGGAGGGAGGGTGAGAGGGGGACAGGCAGAAAGAGTCTGTGTGGGGGTAGTAAGTATATTCAGTATAGGCTATCGATTTAACAATTTCCAAAACCTCATAACTGTTTAGCTTTGCGATGACGACGTTCAAGCCATCTTTTCTTGTGATAGACGTCTGGTAATATTTTTGAGTTATACTCACATCTGTTTTCAAACATCTTCAATAGATTGATTTAAGTTTTATGTGGCTTAGTGATGAAATAGATCGACAGAAGGATAGATGTCAAGGAACTTAATGGTAAAATCCTATTATTTCCAAAGATGCTTCGAATCGACAACCAATAAGCATAGATATCGGATTTAATTTCACAACACAATAGATGACAAGAAGTTGTATTCTTCGATTGTTAAAATCAATATTCTGCACCAAGTCATTTGGAAGGAATGTATCGTACTTTTGTTCGTGTTCTTTCGTCTTCTTCTGACATGTTACACGATCGAATCACTGGCGGACTCAAGTTGACCGTCGATGGCGACCAAAGCCAATAAGAAAACCTTCAGTATTCATAATCTTTGACAACGAAGTATCTATAGGATTTCCTAAAATAAGGTACACCACAACCAGCTATAAATCAGTTCGCAGTTTAAAGGTCGTATAAGGATGATATTTTTGTCATTGTTGTACATGAAAATATTGATCCAAATAAAATCTGTGAAATATTTAATGATACCTATCGATCAATATAGCGAAAATATTCATTTGGACATCTAGAAAACACAAAATAATCGAGTGAAGAATATTCTTTTCGATAAATTCCTCTTCCGGCTCAACAATTATGCATATGTTTATATACACAGAATATTCTAGATTAGTAGTTAATAGCAATATTGGTGTTTTTTTAAATAATATCGATTTTCTAAGTAAGATCACAAGGGAACTACATTTCATAAATTGCATAAATTATAATAGTAATAAAGATATAATAGCGAATAGAATATCAACTAAAATTAGGGAATTTCCACAAACATTCCGGATTATTGAAACCTAGATGGCCAACGTAATGATAATATCTGAACTAATATCTTTTGGATGCATAAATTAGGCTTGTTAATATGATTCCCCAAAGCCTTAGCAATATTTAGTAATCGAACTCTTAAGGCGAAATTGAGATTCGTAGGTATGCGCTAAATAACCCTGAAAGCATGGTTACCGTCAATCTTGTCTTCTGTCTCCACAAGATGAGACAGAATAGCGCTACAAATCGATTTTGTTCGTCCTTTACTTAACCAGCCACTCAGAGTGATGTTGAGAAAGCCGACAAGAAACACGCATAATAGTACAGTCTATGTAACTGCCACGCTCCACAGGAGCAGTTAAATTGGTAGATATACATGGAAGAAGCGAAATTAGGCAGTTTGTCTTTTACTCCCGAACTCAGAAGAGTAGTAGTTTTGAAGATACAGCATAATTCAGCAGCAGCGAATGCTGTTTTTACCGCATTTCTAAGCCGTTATGTTAGTGTCACGTTGATGTTGTCCGCAAGGAGCTGCATCTGTAAGAATAAAGCCTTTTTTGAACTGTTGGTAATTTGGGCTGTTTTGGTTTCAGATTCATATTCTTATAAATAAACTTTTCTGGATAACCATTTTCACTTAGCAACCGTTTAATGCTATTAAGTTCCCCATCAAGACATTCATACGAGCATATTGCTCTTGCTTTGTGGCTGGGTAAGCACTTTATCAGATTGCGTTTGTCTTTCAAAGCCATAAAGCTGAGAAAATGTGTATACTGGCTCGTTGATTGAGGTTTTCTATAAACACTTCTTCTTATTGTGCCATCCTGTATTCTGGTCATGAGGATGTCTAAAAATGAAATGAATGATACCTATCGACAGGTTAATTTTTACTTGACAAGCTGATCAAGCAGGATAGCCCTCTTTCCGAGGTGCTCAGCCTTCAAGGACTTATCATGGATCACTTATGAAATACATTCATTGAAAATCAAGCTGGAATCAACAGCTAAATAACTTGAATACCAACTTTGCTGAAACTACAAGACTTAATCTTGAATCGCTAATATCTCGACTGAGTAGCAATTGAGTGTTATTGGTCAATTACAATCAGATGAGAAATAAGACGAGTGTTTTATAGTCAAAATAAGCAACTTCTTAGAATCTTATATTGTGCATTGGATACATTTTAACAATAATGATCATCCTCCTCTGATTCGACTGACTGATGGTAATGATATCTTCCATCTCTCTAGTGTTTGCATTGTCAATTCTGTTGCATGTGTCGGGTGTAGATTCATCCGATGAACCAGGATTCAGTAATCAATCTCCTTGTATATACACCTACCTATATAACATTTTAGAATTTCAACCCTATCTCATCCTACTGTGTGGTTGTGTGTTAATCCATCCAGTGTAGTGTAGTGCTGAGTTTTTTTGTAAATTACTTATCTTTGTGGGTTTGATCATTCTAACCTTCGCTAAATTCTTGTGTTCTAATAATATGACTATTCCTGATCTACTAGTTTCACCTGTATAGTTGAATTAACTCACAGTCACTGCAGGGTATTTTGTAAATTATATTATCCTGTTTAATTAGTTCAACCTACGCGGCTGTTTAACGTACAGAGCTTGTCGTATCTGAGTGAGTTTCTGCTTTGTTGGAAATCCTGCTTAGGGTAGGCCTTAGATATGCCCTCCTTATATATTAAAACTACTGTGAACGTCTTGTATTCTTTCCTATTTTATTTTAAAAATGGATATAGGCGAAGACTACAGCTTAGTTGTATAAAATCAACGCAAGTGTTGCTGAGTTCTTTAATTCTACAATAATTGATCGATTTCTGTAACTCATTTAACTCTGATAATGATATGAAGATAATTTAATGAATCACTTATGAGAATATATCGTATTCTCTTCGCTCATCGCATCTAAAGACGATGGAACCCATGGCTATTTATGAATAGAAGCCGGATCTTTGAGTTGAAACGACGTGAGTACAGTTCTCTTCTTCTTCAATATGGCCTGCGTTACTAAAAACGTCAGTGATAATTTATTTCAACCTGGACAGTTTCCAGTATCATTTCACTTCTCCACTATCCTAATTCATCTTACGAAACTTCTTATGTTGTTACTTCATGTTATTTTTACATGAATTTAACCACGATCATTATTCATACAAATATTTAGGCGTAATTAACATTATTATTCTCATTAGTTACATGTATTGTATAAATTACCTTAGAATATAGTTTATGCATGATGAAAATAAATTCGTCAGGAAGAGTCCCTCAGCTGAATATTGTATTCTCGATTGTTGCGTTCGCCAATTTACGTTATCTCTCTGGTCAGTGTGATGTTTATCTAGTTATCAATCAAAGGAGGCTTTTACAGCTCAATAGTTAGTTGTGTTACTCTTCCTGGAATTCACCTCAGAACGCGAATCAAACAACGCATTTCCTTACTACTACTCACCAGAGGACACGACTTTACAGTCCAAAGATCTATATACGGCAAGCCAGTATGTACTGGACAGTTTATCAACTTCCAGAGGTTTGTACCACTGATCCGAAAGAGAAACCTGGTAGGGACATTGTGTTCAAGGATTAGAAAAATCTGCTCGGTAGACATGATAGAGAAAGAATTAAATTTATTAAGTAAAACCCTACTAGAGAACAAGCATCTACCAAGATTTATCGACAAAAGCATGAAGGAGAAGCCTCCAGTGCCAGAAATTGCAACGGTTCCTAAGAAGACTCTCTTCATTAACCTAGAATTCGGAAGCGATATCGCAGTTGATATTCTCAGAAACCGCCTTTCTAAATGTCTGAAAAAGACATTCCAAACAGCCACCCTACGTATCAAATTCCCCAGCAGACAGTTAATCCAGTCTTACGCTAAACCCAAGATGCCACTTTTGGCCACTTCACGTGTATTTATCAATTTACTTGCTCGTATGGAGCAAAGTATATCGGCCGTACGCAACGTTAAGTCCACAAACTTATTCTGGAACACTGTCCAGCTTGGTTAGCCAGAGGAGAAAAGAAGAACAGCAGCAGCTCTACCCTTCGTACATCGAGCACCGCCAGATGAATGATTCATAGTGATACACAAAGTCCCTAAATATCGTACAAAGGGACTTCGGATACGCCATCTGTACAGAGCTGAAGCATTAGCTATTCAATATCTGAAACCGGACCTCTGCATTCTAAAGCGATGCATACATTTTCTCGTCATACCATGGCCGGAGTAAAGTTCTTACTACAATTTTGCTCCTTTCCTTCATAATGTAAGTTCACTATTATAATTGCTATTATTGTTAATACTTTTATTATCATTATTATTCCAATCATCCACATTTTTATTATAACCATTCTATTACTGTTTATTAATAACATTGGTTTTTCACACAGATCTTATACAAAAACACTTTACCGCCTTTCCAATAGTTCCTGTTCATTCTACACGAGCTTATTGATTAGTCATTATCTCACACTTAATACATCATGCCAACTTCTGTCTCTTTTCTAACTTACAACTAGTCATCCCTTCTTACACCTTACATTATGTAATACAATCTTTCAAGGACAAAGTTTAGAAGTATCTGATTGGTCTAAACATTCTTTTGCTAACTATAATTACGACTAAACAGCTCATGAAAATCAATCGTCGAGAAGAAATTTTTCTTCGCTGTTTGTGCCTTTTTCTTCCTGGAATTGAAACATGGCCGTTGAAGGAGCAAAACTTGAAGACTAGAGCGGTGATATCAACGTTGTATCTGTTTATTTATTATTCCCTTGGGTTTCGGATGGAACATAGAGCTTCAACAACACATGTCAGCTTTATTTATGTCCAAATCAAACTCGCTTTTAACAGTTTGAGTATATGATAATCATTATAATAAAGGTTCTTGTATTTGCGAATGAATGAATGAGAATCAAAAAGATATTGTCGTTTTTACTGACATTAATTAATCGGATG